TGGATCTAGGTTCGTGTGGAACCTAGTTGAATTGGATTCGAATGAACTCGAATTTGAGTTCTCATTTAACCTATCTGAATTTTGTTCCAACTCTTCTCCCCTCCTTCTCAACCTCTCCTCCATTTCCTCTGAAGCTAACAGCTAACCTTTAGGCTCATTTCAGGGATTCGCAAACCCAGATTTTTTTGGTTCACATTTGGATTTGTTGAAGTTTGTTAAATCTATGAACTTTAAGAATTAATTTAGATTGTTGTTTCTTTCCATTCAGTTGTTATTGACAATTAAAATGTAGACTGAAACGACAATTGATTATGGTTTTGAATTTGGTTGCTTGTTGGATTCGACCTTCCTGAATCTTCGATCTGGTAATGAAGAAATGAGGGGGGCAAGACTATAATTTCACTTGACGATAAAAGTTAAATTAAAGGTGGGGTCTGAGAATTTTTATTAATTTTAATCAAATAAGGTGGGTAAGAATGGGACCTACTTTTATATTTTAATTAAGAGAAATAAGCCTTAATTTTTTTTTTTTTTGAGGAAAGAAATAAGCCTTAATTTTGAATGTCATTGAGGAGATGGCATGAGTTTTAGATCAAGTATCTTTTATTAGTTGAATTATTTATATCATTAAAATAATTAAAAAAATATTATGTGAATTGAAATAATAGACTTAACTGATAAAGGAATTGGAATTGTGTAGTTTTTAAAATTGAAGGAGATAAAAGGTGCTCTAGTAATAAGACCAAAACTATATAATTAACCATACTTACAAACCTCGTCAGATGATGTTCAGGAACTCAAGCTACTAGCTGTTAAACAGAGACGAATTTTAGCAAGAATGATTTGGCTGATGACCCTTCATTCGAGCGCAAGATATGTTTAGTCCATGCTATACTTACATAGAATATATGTAAATGCACATATGAACTCTCAACAAAGAAAATAAGATATCAGGATTGAAGAAGTAGATGGCATACCTGCGTGCTTGTCAGAGATCAAAGAAATTATGAAAGGTGGACACCTGATAGCAAACCTCACTCTTTCTTATAGTTGAGGTAGCTAAGGAGTCGAGACAACTTTCAAGTGGTAAGTGAATTTGTTTTAGTTTAAATAAGATCTCGAATTTAAGATTTTGTGTATGTAGTAGTCTTCGTTGGGAGACTCACTCACTAATTTCAG